CCCTCAACCCCTAAACCCCTAAACCAATCAAGAGGGTCTGAGGTCCGCTAGGCAGAGGCCCAGTGAGCCAACACTTCGGGGCTCCGCGCGAACCCCAAATCGAGGCATTCCGTGCCCTAAGGCCTAAACCCTACATCCTCACAGGGGTTTAGGGTTAGGGTTTAGGGTGTAGGGTTTGGGGTTTAGGGTTTAGGGTTTGGGGTGCAGGGCTTCCATACAGCCCTGCAAGAAACCGGAGCCCTCAGGGCCATGTGCAACACCATCAAGTACCAGAACCCTAAACCCTAAACCCTAAACCCTAAACCCTAAACCCTGAACCCTAAACCCTAGACCCTAAACCCTAAACCAAAACCGAGCCCTCAGGGCCATGTGCAACACCATCAAGTACCAGTCATCCCAGCTCTCTGAGCTTTGGACAGAGACCAAGCTCTTGCAGGCCGCGTCAGAGGGGTCCACGTAGGGTGTATAGAGCCGAGGAGGTTGAAGGGTTTAGGGTTTAGGGTTTAGGGGTTTAGGGTTTAGGGTTTAGGGGTTTAGGGGTTTAGGGTTTAGGGTTTAGGGTTTAGGGTCTGGCTGTTTGTTGTAGGGGCCTAAGTAATTACCTATATTGTTTTGGGGGTTCCTTATTATAATTCTAGTATAATGGGCCCCAAAACCCTATTCTAAATTAAGGCCCCTATATTAAGGAGGGTGGGTTAGGGTTCAGGGTTTCTGCCAACAGGCGGCCGTGGGCCGCCCTAAACCCAGAACGCCAATATAGGGGCTAAGCTTTTTGCCAATGCTATTCCTTACAGTTCATGTAACGGGTTGAGGGTTTAGGGCTATTAAGGCGCCTATATTACAACCCCCTGAACCCCAAAGCCGAATGTTCAGGAGGTGGGGTCTGGGGCGAGCACGGCGTCTTGAGATAAGATTGGAGCTGTAGACAGAAACAAATTTTGGGAAACTGTCAGAGTCATGGTCCCTTTGGGGAACCCTCTGTATTTCTTTATTTCTGCTCTTAATACGGCAGCCTATAGTTTGGGAACCCCCAAAAGAGACCCTAATTTGGACAGCCACCCATGTGTATCCTGTCATGCCTCGTCCGGAGCCCAAAACCGTAAGCCCAAAACCGTAAGCCCAACACCCTAAGCCCTAAACGCCCCAGAACCAAGAGGGCCTCGTCGCCCGAAAGGGGCGACGAGGCCTGGAGGGCGCTAAAGGAGATGTGTCGGGTAGATCTCTTAAACCCTAAACCCTTCACCCTAATAAATGTAGAGTCGAGAGCGACCCGGGGAAAGGAAGATTTAATGACATGATATGACATGGCTATTTGGTTCTGCCGGGACGTGCAGACAGCGCGGCAGTACGCATGTAGAGCTATGCCCCGCTCTGAATCCTAAGCACCGAAGAGTCATGTATAGAAGCCTCAGTCAGTAGCCATACCAGCCCTTCATGATTTCTACAGAAACTACAACAAACACCCCCGCCCCCAATGGCCCTGCCCCTATGACACTATCTCACCTTCTGGCACACCGGGTTGCGATCAAACTGTAATGCTCGAAGTGAAAGTTAGCTGGGTTCTTGCCAGGGAGTTTAGTTTAAGTCACCAGAATAAGGAAACCATACGTGCTGTAGATCCCTGTCAAGGTAGCTTAAGTTAAACTCCTCGACAAGCCAGTGATGCCAGGTAATGTGGGGGCCTTAAAAATTAGAATAGGGGTCTTGGGGTTCCTTAGTATTGTACCTAGAGTATAGGACCGTAATAACTACCTATACTATTTTGGGGGTTCCTTATCATAAGTATATAGCATAACAACAATACCCCCCCAAACACTATTCTAATTGTTAAGGCCCCT